ATGGAATGAAGGGTGACAACCTGGTTGTGCTGGTGTTTCAGGTTCACTATGTGCTTATTGCAAATGCAAACTACTGCTATCCATCAACAAATGCAAATCATCAGCTTCTCAGTAGTCAAGTATTTTAAACTTTACATACTAGTATTGATGATAGAGATTAACACATTTCCCCATTTCTTCAGTGCTTCTATGCATGCTATTATAAAAGATCAAACTGAAAAAAACCCTACCCATATATATTTGCATTCTTTGTTTCTCACCTCTTCCAGATATGTACTGAATCACTGTACAAAGAAAAACAGCTTTAGCAACAGGAAACAGCAACAGCTAGAAACAACTGTGTTTGTATTTTATGTGCTACACTCCATACACAAGTTTTATCAACTTAAAAAGTCATAATCAGCTACAAGTAAAGAGTACTGACAAATAACTGATGGTGGGGGAAAAAAAAAAAAAAAAAACAACACAACAACACACCTCAAAGTGGGCAAGAATCCACACTCAACTACAGGAAAATGTTAAACGCAACCCAGCTTAAATAAAAGAGTAACTTCTTCAGGTAACCAAAGCACCTCTGATTGTCCATATCCCACAGTCTACTGATACCATCGCACAAAGACTGCCAGTTTGTCACCAGCAAGTCACAGCTTATCAAGTAAGGCGCTGGCATTGTGACCAGATAATAAAGAAAATAAAAAGTGGACTTGACCATGAACAGAGCCCTGCAGATGGTCTCTGCTTCAACATGAGGCAGCAAGGAGTCAATCAAAAGCCAGTCCCCAGTTGTCCTGGCTCTGACAAAATCCCTCGGCGCTCTTGGAGAGCAGCGTGGGTCAGTTTTACCAAAGATTCTGCTCACTTTAACAAGATCTCACTTCATCCTTGAATAGAGATCTAGTATCTATTTCAGTGTACTGTTGGCTTTCACCACCATTGGAAATAGCATCCCACCATTTGAAGTTTACCCTTCAAAAATAAAGTGTAAATACTCACTGAGTGTAGAGAAGGAAAAAAAGCACTACTTAGCAAATGTATACTGCAACAAACAATAAAATCACATAACTCACAAAGCCCAGAATAAACACTTTGATTTCAAAACTCGACTGAAGTAATGTCGGCAGAAAGAATACAAAATGTCACCTGCATACAAACCAATTTAGTGCACAGTGAGCTGCCTGCCCCCAGAACCACATCTGCTCTGTGAAGGTTCACAGCAGGAAAAATTCAGATAGATTAAACACTTTAATTGTGCAGTTTCACACTCCACAACTGGAAAAATTTAGACATGCACTATTATTTATATTTAACTGAAACAATCTTTGCATTTTGTTAGGGGCATAAAAAAATTCCAACAAAATTCTAGATTACAAAATTTAGTTTATCATTATATTTATAGAGTTGCTGCAGTATTTATGGTTCTTAGATATGTTCAAGAAGTGCCTAAACTTTTTATGTTCCCAACCTCTGCTCTACCTTCTACCCAATGTACCTATTTTCCACTAGAAATATGTTTTAAAAATAGTTAGCTAATGAGAATTTGAAACATTTCTATTCGCAAAGGATGTACCAGATCTGATCCCGCGTTTATCACTATACTGAGTCTGATGTGAACGTAATAGTCTTATTTACAAGAAAATCAGGCAAACGCTGTTCAAAAAGAATACATCAGTGAATGCAAGCCTCCCAATACCATGAACGTTCCATGTGACAGAAAACTGCAAACAAGAAGGTTACACATAGATTAATTGTTCCACTGAATGTATACTTTGGAATAATACATAAGAGATGAAATCGTGTTTCAGCAAGGAATCAAATGAAGCAACTTAAGAAGCTGACACCCAAGCCACAAGAAAAGATGTATGCTCATTTAAAGCAACCCATTACCAAAGCTATTGAAACAAAATAAACAAGACCCACAGTAAAAGCTGGCAGGTCACGAAGCTCCTGTCTTCCTTCTGTCCCATTGTGCTCATTCTGGTAATGTTCAGACAGATCAGTAGGAGTTACACACACTTTCATACACAGTGGACAGATGAAGCCCTGTGAAAATGCATATTTCTTTTTAAGAAACCATTAAAGACAAAAAAGCAGATTTGGAATCAAACGCTGTTCAAATTCTTACGCTGAAAGCTCTCTGCTATTACCAAAAGCAAAGTCTGTTTTCCCTTTGGAAAGAAAGCTTTTGCAAACCACGTATCAATACCATGAAGAAGGCAAGAAGGAATAGTTATTAACATGAAAATAAATCAAAGTAAAACACACTTTAAAAGCTAGCACCATGCTGCATAATACCACTTGGTGTTTTCCAGACACTTTTGGTACCCCCTCCACACGACAGACTAAGTTGCGGAACAAACTGTGGATGGGCATTATAAGGCACCGTGTCAGACCCATCATGCAGTTTCCCATAAGGGTGTCCAGATATTTCACAGAGAGAGACATGGTGCCATGCTGGGACTGCAGAAATACCCACGTAAATTAACAAGCCAGTCTGGGGCAGCAGGAGAGGCCTGGGCACCAGTGCAGCTGCACACCTGGCTGGCATGCTCACATAGGGAAAAGCATGCACCTTCCTTGGTAGAAGTGACAAAAAATACCAAAACACAAACCTCCTCAGCATGGTCACCAAAGATTTATCAAAGCCAAAAGTTAAATCAGTTTCTGAAGAACAAGAGCATTACATTTTCAAGACAGGCTACGTGTTTAAGCACGTAGAAATAACAGGGTGGACAGTCAAGTGCTGGCTGGAGGATGCCCACACCTCCATGGCAAAGCACTACAGAGACAGGCAGAATAGAGTGAACACAACTCCCCCTGCATGCATGAAAGGCTTCAGGTCCCTTCCAAAAAGGATGTCTGTGGCAAACCTGTCTAGCTAGCACTGCAACATTACACCAATGAAAGCATAAGCACGCTGCTGGACTCCCTGCAAACATAGAATATTTAGTAACCCTGTACTGCAGACAGAGTTACACTGAGACCTAAGCTAAAAAAGTACGATAGGCTCAAACATTTCCTCCTTGGGCAGATTTCATAGTAAGTAAAACATTTATCTAGACTCAATTACAGGTCTATGTGTGATCTGAAGCGCTGATGTGGTCACAGACAGGACTAAAACAGATTTTCACCTCTCCTTGAACAAGGAGCAGTTTGAATTCAGAATTCCCCCCTCATTTTGTTTCACACTACCTTTCTCAAAAACCAGGATTGATTTCAACCAGGCTTGAGGAGGCAGGAATCAAGAGAATGTGCACAGATTTAATAATTATTCTCCATTTGAATCTTGGAGCAATACAAACCATAAAATCTAGCCAAGAAACCGAAGTGAAAATAAGTCAATCAGATCCCTGACTTTACACAATACTGGAGAATGAGTGGGAAAATAATGATAAAATGGAGAGTAAACATTCTGCAAAGTCTGGCTGCAGTGCTCATGGAGAGAAGCTCTCAGAGAGACAACACCTCAGGCCAGCTGTGCAGGAAAAGGAAGAACAACAGAAAGGCTCAAGTTGTAACACATTAATCTCAGGAGAGTAAGAACCCAACACCAGCTTCAGAGCTCAATTTCAAACAGATTTTGAAATTATATGCTAAGAAGAACACCCCACTTGTTGCCACAGGTGGTGGAATTACTGACAACTAGAAGATACTTTTTCATGTTCTATAGCATCAACCAGAAGTGACACTGCAGCCTTTGATTTCATCCAGTTTTGACTCAGCAGCAAGAAAAGACAATGGTGCAATAGCGCAGGCACACCACCACTTGGAAAGCTTGTCCTGCATCAAGGAAATACTACTACATCAGTAGTAAGATACCTTGTGACACCTACCAGCTATACAGTCAGTGATACTGCACTCCTGTCAACAGAACTGTGCAATTTTACCATACTTTGGAAAGAAGCAGTTATTGCATTGCACGTTTTTATGCCTTTAATTTATTACCAAAGTAAAGAGATTTTAGTCTGCTATTTAAGAGTACTTACTTGCTTCAGGGACGGTGTAAATATGCATACAAAACAGATCAGGACTCATAAATGTGTGACATATAACATGCAGAAAAGTATTAAGACATGTCTGACTATACTGATTGCAATAAGGTTTCAAGGAATATGAAATAAGCAGATGCACAGATGGAAGGCATTAGGATTTTGAACAGCAGTGAAAGTTTCTCTTATCTCTTATGAAAGACAATATAGAAGTATTTGAATCATCACACACTTTATCCAATATAAGAAAGAGCACTTTACTCCCTCTAGCGCTGTAATAGGAGTAATTAACCTTGCACTGAATTTGTATGCTAAGCTTGAAACATTTTCAAGTTAGGTAATCAGGCTACATTTGCACAAACTAGATTCAACAGCCAGAGAAGTCAGTTTGCATTTTTCAGAGTTAATATTTGACAACAATGTAAATTTAAATACATTGTAATATGGGATGGAAGCAAGAATAACAACTTATTCTGCTGGTTAAGCATGCCATACAGCACATAAAAAGCGGACAGGATTTACAAATGGTAGATCTCTACACCAACACCAAACAAAATCCAACACGTTTGATATTTCACAGGGAGGAAGTTTCCAGTCTACATTATAGCTTAGCAGAAGCAAGGTGAAAAGGGAGTGTAAGTGTAATAAAATGTTAAGCCTCGTTTTTCAGAACTCTCATAAAAGATTTATTCATGAGGAGTCTTAAGCTTATGCCTCACTGCTTTTTACCTGGGTAATTCATCTCTAGGATTACAGGAAGGATCACTCGTGACCGGATAGATAAGCCTAATTAACAGTTCCAAGTAAGTATGGCATAGCCTTTTTTTTTTTTTTTTTTTTTTTTTTTTTTTTTTTTTTTTTTTTAAAGTAACCACCAATTCTTGGAAGGAAACAGTTCTGAGATTTATTTAGTACAGCTGTTATTCAGGTACTGCATCAGAAGTTACTTCCAACAATTTCAGGGACCAGAGAAACAGCACCCAAGGTTTCAGACTCCAGTCCAATGTACAGTACCTCAGAGGAGCCTTCACTGTTCATGTCCACGGCATTTCCGGGTGCAGCAGATGAATCCGAATCCGAGCTCTGAGACCCACCTCTACCTGGAGTCTGAAATAGAGAGGGGAGAAAAATATTAGTGTCTACAGACTATTTAAGAAAGCATGGTACATATCCAATGCAGAGGCCTCTCTCCTACTTGCTGGAATACAGAAGCATTTTACCTCCACAACAGTAATGAAGTGAATGAGCTGACAAGCAATTATATAATTTTCAGTGCAATACTTCAACAAAAGCTTTTATCCAAGACCATCCACGCATCAGAGAACAAGCAAACACCAGAAGCAAAGGCCAGGATTCTAAACCACTTCTTCTCATGAATGCTCAATGCAAAACAAAGAATTAGGCTAAACTCTGCCCTTATATCACTCACTCTGATGTTAAATTAGGTCTCTACATCCAATAGGAAAACACTAGAAATTACAATTTAAGCAGTTTCAGAAGTAGTAAACCAGTATCATACTACTTTCTTGATAACTTTGTCTACAATATGAACCAGACTTTAAACACTTCAAAGACAGAAAAGTAAAAAGTGAGGACCCTCCTGATACAATAAACATGTGCAGATACACTGCCTCAATTTGGAAAAGAAAAAAAAAACTAAATCAATCCTGTGGTGAAGTTAAAACATGTTAATCAGTAGGACCATCTATAAAAATAAACTCCTTTGAATATGCTGAAAATTGAATCAGTACTCTTTTGAAACTATAGAGGAAAACAAGCAAATTTGAAATACTATAAAAGTCTGGATAGATGGATCGCGTCTTATATTGCTTATCTAACTATAACTGTGGTTTAAACTTGATTTAACTTCTCTTAATCACCTCCGGAATGCCATTGCTTGACTAGTGGCATCACAGTTAGCATTCTCAAAGCAAACATGAGTAAAGAAATTATCTTAATATTGCTATGCAATCCTAGTTTCAACAGAAAGTTATTATCTAATTCTAGGATGACAACTGCAAATGGGATGAAGTAATGCTACTGCTGTAATTTAGCTGATCTGGAAAGACTTGCAATGTTATAAAGGATTTTCTAATTTAATATAGGGGATTACAGATACAGAATTGTAAATACATAGATGGAAATGTACAGACGGACAGAAGTAGGCAAACAGTTTTAGTTTCTAGATCTTAGTGTCTCAAAAATCTGATTTTAGAATTTTCTTGCTCAAACCTATCTTCTTTTTTTTTTTCCCAAACAAATCAGCTAGATAACCTTTTACAAGATATCTGCAGCACAGTTTCCATACTTTGGAAATTAAGTACATTTTCCTGCTTTGTTTTGGAAAGAATGTTCTATTTCAAACTTTCATAAAGACAACAACCTTTTATTACTAACCCAATAAAAAAAATGGAAAATAAAAAGGTCAAGTTTACTGATGAAGAACTTCATTTCCAGGGAGATACACTTCAATTTTAGAACGGCTCTGAAGACTGGTCAAAGCAAAGTGAAGAGTGAAGCAGCAAGCTATCGGGGATGGCAACTATAAGTGAAGGAGAGGGCCATTCCTCTTCATTCCCCCCTTCTCTGGGGTCATCAGTTAAGTGATCAACATATGCCGGTTCTCCTACTTGCATGTCTTTTTTATTTTAGCCAGCTTATGTTTCTGAAGAAAGCAAGAACACAACATAGTTTCCTTCTAGTACAGCACGCAAAAAAAAAAAAAAAAATGGCGAAGGTGACGCAAGCTCTCCAAGTTAATAACAGGAAAGGCAAAAATGGATATAAGCAAAGAATACGATGCACATATGGAGCATGCTGAAGTGAAGGCATGAATACTTCTCCTCCAGATCACCAATACAGCCAGTAAACAAGGCACATCCCAGAATGGACCATAGGTGTACGGCTCATCCAGTTTTCATATGACATCAAACTGAGAGGACCAGCTGACACACTCAAAAGCAGGGCTGCCATTCAGAGGGACCTAGATGGGCTGGAGGAATGGGCCAGCAAGACCCTCATGCAATTCAAGGGGGACAAACACGGAGTCCCATTCCTGGGAAAGAAAATCCCTGTCAGCAGCATAGTGACACAGTCCCCTCTGCTGAAAAGGGCTCAGGGCTCCTGCCAGATGGCAAGCCGAACAGGAACCAGCAGCACGCCCTGGCAGCAGAGAGGGACACCAGCATCCCGGGGTGCATTAACATGAGCCCAGCCAACCAGCCAAGGGAAGTGGTCGCCCCCCACTGGTCAGCACCCATTGGACCTCATCGAGATACTGCATCCGGTTTTGGCCTTCCCAGTCCAGGGGCCACGCTGATAAAAGAGAGTGACTTCAGCAAAAGGCCACCAAGACAGCCAGGGCTGGAGCACTTGCGCTGTGGGCAGAGGCTGAGGGAACAGGGCTGGCCCAGCCTGGAGCAGAGAGAGCTTTGTGAGGACCTAACAGCAGCCCCACCATCACCTATAGCGAAGGTCAAGAAAAAGAAGCCAAGCTGGTCCCAGCAGCACACAGTGGGAGGAAAACACACAAAATCTGGAAGAACAGAGGTTCCCGCTGGAACCTTTGTCTTATGAGGAGCAGCTGAGGAAACTGGGATTGTTTAGCCTAGAGAAGAGGAATCCATTTTGTGCGAGAACAAAGAACCCAAAGAAGATGCATATACACGTATGTCTACACAAGGGAAGATGAGGCTGGGTGTCAAAGCCTTCCTTCCATAAAGGAGCTAAACTTTTACAATACAAGAATCAACTTCTTGTTGACAGGAATTTTTTAAAAGGCACTCGAAATCTGAATGTGATAAAACGGCTTCTGTGTGCCAGTGAACTATGGCGGCTGTTCTCTTCCAGAAAGCCCAAGAACTTGGACCCCTATCTGTCCCAACACCTACATCCACAAGTAGAAATGGGACATTTTGAAATGTAGAAAGTGTCCGCATGAATGCATATGCATGTCTTTGCTAATGCTTTACAAGAACTGAAAGCCTTTTGTTCCACTCTTTAGCTTCAAAAGCTGAAAAATGTGCCTTCATGTAGCCTTGGACAGAAAGACATCGGTGCAGAAGGAGAACCTGAACAGAACATGATAGTCTGGGTAATGGCAATAAGAGATGGTCCAACAGTCTCTTCAGGCAAGCAGCATGTACCTCCACTGCTGCAATACCTGAGTGTATGCTTTCAGCATACCTAATGAATCACTTTGTACCAAAGCCAAGAATCTGCTGACAATTAACACAATATTTTCTTCACCTTAGATCGGAACTTCTTATTCAGTGCTACCGTGCATTGTTAATCGCTCATCACATTTCACCCCGGATTTGAGTGCATTTCACAATGAGATTTGCATATTAAGTTCTGCTGGCTGTAGCACTACAAATTGGAGATTATTACAACCTCCAGGATGAAAGCTCTTATATTAAGAGTACAGTGTTATTACTACAGGGTTGATTAAAGTGTTTGTTTTATGAAACATTTCAGACATGCTGTAATCCCACTAAAAGGTACCACATAGCACGTCTTCTGACACAAACAACACAGAAATTATTAAACTGTACCTGGCAAAATCATTTTAACCTTTCAAAAAACAATGTGCTCCAAGCTCAGTACAAACAGGTGGCGTTTTCTTATGAGTTCCATGCACAGGAAAAAGGGTGGGAAGGAAAGAGATCATGTAATTTTCAAGACAGGGAGCAAGAGCCCATAGCACCCATTTGCAAAGTAATACAGACTAGCAAGAAAAATTTAGTACAAATTTGGAAGGATGTTATGGAAACAGAGACCATAAATGCAATTGCCTTATCTTTCAAGGCTGTAATATAAACATCTTTCACTTGCCAAATAAAGAATGGGGGATTGAGAGTATTGCTTTAATTATCACTGCATGTGTAAACACACATGTTTAACTAGGCTCCCAGATCACCATTATATCACATCCCATATTTAAAAAAAAAAAAAAAAAGACAATCACAACACACTGAACAATTCAGACTTTGTGAACTAAGGAGACTCGGAATGTGTTGTTTTCAGTTGGGACTATACAGGGGAGCAAAAGAATTACTTACTTCCATAGGAAAAGTACATTTTCACACAGGCTTCTGTATATGTATTTTTACAAAACTAACATTTGACCTGTAAAGGCATACCTGGAGTTGAGAGACTGATGCAGAAATTTGTCTCTCACCTCATGTATTTGTCTCCTAGTTGTCAAGAGTTTTATTTGTTTACTTTGCAGAGAAGAGTATGTTTCAACCACTCGCACTAGAGTTGAAGAAGTAATATGCTAAACTTCATAATGTTGTCCTCCGTGTTTTCTCAAAACTGCAAGCTAATATAACAAAACATCATTAACAACAAAAAGGATGATAATGAATGCAGCTTGTTTTCTGAAAAGGAATAAAAAATTATATAATGAATGAGTTGAGCTAACACGTTAAAGTGATGAAGTATAAATACGGATCGCTGCTGTGTCATTTTTGCATAGTCATTTATCTGTCTACAGCTCACTCCACTCAGTGATCATACTCCTTTCAGCAGCTTTAAATTCAGAATAAATTAAACCTTTGAAAAAATATGCTAAGCCTTGAAAAAGTCTGAACAAATATGGATTTATACAGTTCTCCCAGCACAAATTTACACATGACAGAAGGGTACTATTGTCCGAACATATTAAGGTCCTGAAGCCACAAAGAAGACACAAGGATGAGAAGATACGAAGCCCAAAGCTCTTTTAACAAAACAACTCTCAGTGCCAGAAAGAGTACAGTGTAATACAGAACAGTAATACTGTTTACTTCCAAAGAGCTGTGACACTGTCTTATGACTCTGAAAAATGAAATGACTCCTGACTTCACAGGGCATAAAACCTTTCTTTCCCACCGCACCATTGGTTCCATGCAAGCAGAACCTGTGCCCAGGAAGAGACACAGGTGCCCCCTTCAACCCCACAGGGAGGGCACGAGCACAACTGCACTTCAGCATCCACCCAGGTAAATACACTTCCTAGAGAGCCCTACAATTATAAGCGTAAAAAGAAACTTATAGGTAAGGCATGAGATGCAACATATCCCAGACAAGTAAATATCTCTGCTCCTGAGGCTGGAGTAAGAGAAAAGGTGACTGTACTACCCGAGCTACAGAAAAGCTCCAGAGAAGGGCCACGAGAATGATCCGAGGGCTGGAGCAGCTCTCCTACGAGGACAGACTGAGAGAGTTGGGGCTGTTCAGTCTGGAGAAGGCTCCAAGGTGACCTTCTTGTGGCCTTCCAGTATCTTAAGGGGGCCTACAAGAAAGCTGGGGAGGGACTTTTTACGATATTGAATAATGACAGGACTAGGGGGAACGGGGCAAAGCTGGAAGTGGGCAGATTCAGGCTGGATGTGAGGAAGAAGTTCTTCACCATGAGAGTGGTGAGACCCTGGAATGGGTTGCCAGGGGAGGTGGTTGAGGCCCCATCCCTGGGGGTCTTTAAGGCCAGGCTGGATGAGGCTCTGGGCAGCCTGATCTAGTGTGAGGTGTCCCTGCTCATGGCAGAGGGGTTGGAACTGGGTGATCCTTGTGGTCCCTTCCAACCCTGACAGAATCTGATTCTGATTCTGTTTTAGCAGAGGAGTCAGTAGTGTTGGCTTGATGGCTGGACTTGATCTTAAAGGTCCCTTCCAACCTAAAGGATTCTATGATTTTATGAAATGCCTGCAAAGCCCTGTTCTCTACCTAGACCCCAGGATCTCAAGACCAAGAACTCAAGCATTTTTAGAAACAGCAATAGGATCTTACCACCCAAATACAGCACAACTGCTGACAGTTGTAGACAGACAGTTAAACATAAAAAATGAAGACAAAAACTGTCCCAACAGATGAGTCCTTCACTACAAAACATGAGTGAATGGGAAGGAAGCTCAGAAGGTCAGTATTCAGTTTTCCAACAGCTGAAAATAATGCCTCTTCCTTGCAGAAAGTGGTGGTTTTTCTTTTTTTTTTTTTTTTTCAGGTGTTAGTATCTTGCAGATATTAGAAGTGAAGTCTGCTTAAATGTACCAGAGGCAATAGCCACTGTCCCACTAGTAGATGAAACAGAGAGGAGACGCAATAGCCACAAAGGCCCTTCAGAGTTGAGCACAATAAAGAAAAGACAACTCTCTAAAGAATACGTTGACAAAAGTCAAAATACCCGGGCAAGGAAGTTGTGTCTCAGATATTCCACACAGGTGTCTTTTGGGAATGACTACCTTTTCTGGATCAGCACGACGAACAATGCATGAAACTAAAGTGGCAAGAATGAATATAAGAAGGTCTTACAGTGCAAACTCACAGAACAGATGCATCCCTGAGATGTCACATTGAAAACTTACACAAAATTTAGAAACAGCTTGCAGAGAAAGGACCTAAAACAAGGACCTAGTTGAAGACAGCATGGAAACACTAACCTCAATGAGCAATGAACAGCTGTAACAAGCATATAGTACTTTCTGTTTTGAAAACATGCCATTTCAAGTCACCATGAAGATGGTTTTAAAAACAGAAATTATAACTGCGGGAGAAATAAAAAGGTCATCGGGGCACAGAACAAGTATAAAAAATAAGCATCTGATGTTTAAAAACTTCAGGAATCATAATTTCAAGTAAGTGACAAAAACCACAA